ACAAATTATGAGAATGGATCATTCCGATTCCGATTTCGACTACGAACCAAACGAACCCTAAGATTGGGCTTGGATGTTTAATTTCAGGCTGGGTTTGGACACAAAATTTTGTTTTTTATTTTTGAACTGGGTCTAGACCTGGCCTTTAGGTAGCATGAATTAGGCATGACATTAACCCAACCTAAAGTCCAGCCTAACTATTTACATGTATATATAAACACATTTTTGAACATATACATATATATTCATATATGTGCATACATAAATAAAACATATACATTTATGTCAAAATTTAGTTTGGGCTAATTGACCAATGCAAGTCCAATCTGGGCCCAAGGCCAACCGTGAATGCATCAAGTTTCATTGCGGGTAGGGTCCAAATTGAGCTTAAACCTGCCCAACCCACCCGTCACCTAAGGCGTAGATGACGAGTATGTCAAGTTAATGGTTGATTCGTTTGATTGTAACATGAATTGTAGTTGAACCAGGAGGTTGCCAATCCAATCCTACTACCTAGATCAACAACGGATTATTCAATGGATGTATTTACAATTCAATCATATGATGCATTTTGAATATTTTCTATGTATTAAATCAAAATTTCAATCAATCACATTAAAGACATTATATAGTTTATTTATTCTCATCTATTTATATTTCACAATATGTATTTATTATTAAAGACTTTAACAACATTAAAGATTCAATTGTGATATATTCTTTATCATTGATTTAAGTATTTTTTTTACTTCAATGTGCATTTCATGTACCATAAATTTTGCCATTTATATCATGGAAAGGAAAAAAAATTATAAATATATATGGCATGAGAGAGGGCTAGTTGAAGGTTGGTCAGTTGGGATTAGGATTAACAATAGGTTCTACCTAAAGTTAAAGAAAAAGAGGAAATAAACGAATGTTATCAGTGGATACTGGTGGGGTGGAAACGTCCCCCAATAGGATCAAGACATGTGGCGACCTTGGTGGATCAGTGTTCACGCTTATCCTATCCTAGCATCTTGTCAATGGTAGTGAAGGACAACTCGGCATAGCATATAAGCTGAGCTGTATGAGTGAGGAAGCACATTTTTCCGAGACGAGTTGCATCAAAAGAAATTCACCCGAACATTACCACATGTACGTGAAGGCAACCTTCTGTCAATGCGATCGTCCCATTTGCCCATCTTGTTTCTGGTTGACCCTGGGCTCCTTCTATGTGTGGTTAAACGTGGCATGTGAATCACCTAAACGTGTCTCACCTAACCATCAGGTGTCCCATTTGTCAATAATACATGCGCCCCCAATTAAAAAAAAAACGGATTTTTAGACTGCACTCTATTTCAGAATTGTGATTTGCAGCCCCCTCCTAATCTATTAGTAGCCCCCTATAAACCTCATCTTACTTGTGAATTTAGCATCAATTCATGGGCAGGATTCAGTTCACCCCCAGAGATCCTAGAGGTGGACTGAACTGTAAAAACCCAAATAAAAATAGATTTCAAACTCATTAGACACCTTTTTGCATTGATTGCTATTAAATATACCTCGGACAGCTCAGTCCTTTTACTAACTTGCTCGTTGGAATCCAAAGCCTAAAATATTATCCTGGAGTTGAAATCAGCCCCCCACAAAATAATTTCCCACAACGTCACACAGCATATCCCTGCCGTGTATTGGGAATATCTCCCGATGATGTCTTATCATTTTTTATATTATTATCAGGAGATGTTCCCAATACATGGCGGGGATGTGCTGTGAAATATTGTAGGGGGCTGATTTGAACTCATCATCCTGGGCCCTCTGATTTATTCTCCCTTTCAGGTGTCTCTGCTTTCTTCAAAGCTGAGTTTAAGCTTCTCTTGAGACTTTTGATAGTCATCGGATACATAGCATATATGTTGTATGTTGACAGGGTCTTGGAAAATGTCATATTCGGTGTATACATTTTACCTTGTATTTATACATAGTTTAAATGTATATTACAAATGACCAATTAGTCTCGGGGTGGCTCGGGCTACCTGAAGCCTTTTCAGGCCAAGGTCCAGATTAAGGTTAAAAGCTTAAGTTGGGCTCATAAAATTACAGTTAAGCTTTCGTTGCATTGACAAAAGGGTGCACAACCATACCATCTATAGGTATATTTACATAATTACATTCATATGAAGCCCATGTTTGCATGCCTTATAAGCTATACTATGAGTCAAAGTATTATTTTGTATATCTATACTATAATAAAAAATACGAACGAGGGTGTGGAACATTTCTTAACGAAAATGCTCATAATTGTTATTTAGTCTATCTCTAATTATGAATGTTGAAAATATAATTTCAATTAATACTTTTCACCTCATTTATTCTCATCTCATTAAATAATAAAAATTAATAAATTATAAAAACATAAAAATGAAAAAAATACATACCTCATTTATCAAAAAGATTGAAAAAAATACATAAATTTTACAAAAAGAAAAGCATTCAGGCACATGTATAATATCATATTAAACAAAAAATAAACGTACATAACAATATTATTTTTACACACAGAAATAGAAAAGTTATAGAAAAATTAAGCACATTTATAACTCCATATTTACACTACTATTAAAAATATGAATAAGATTGTGAAACTTTATTTTGACTAAAATACCCATTTTTTGAATTTAATCCCTATTTAATTGTGAGGTTTAAAATGTAGTTTGAACTACAATTTTCACCTCATTCAATTCACTCTCTTTAAATCTTACATTTTTTTTGACAAATGAACAAAAAAAAAACATTACAAAAAAAAGGAACTCATCCAAGTAAGTTGTCAATGATACCCAAAACTTTGCAGCTCAATATGAGTTGCTTACATAATCATATTCAAATTTTGCAATTCTGATTAATAGTGAAAAACAAAAAATATAAAAAAAATAAAAATACATGAATTTAAAAAAAAATTAAATACAATATTACTGTCATTATGATCAAAGAACTCATACACAAAACCACAAATATCAAAGAACTCAAAAGTTTCAGAATATGATCTGTTAGATAAACTTCYCCCCATGTGCATAAATTGAGTTTTGCTTCAGCTGCTATATACCATCAATAATATATAGTATTGCATTATTTTTATCAGAGAAATTCCTTAGCTCTTTTTTTTACCTAGATTTGTTCATTTGTAGTGCAAATGTAAATCCCTTGAGATACAAATGTTTTTTTTCTCTTTGGAAAGGAAAACTGAAATATTCATTACTTGTGCCATATGCAAAAGAGGACACAGGGTTTTCATCTGGGTTCGAGTGTTATTAAATGAAAAGAATGGAGTCATTTTACAAGTATATAAAAAATTAATGAAACACATACTGTAAAATGGAAATGGATTACCAAACACAATTTATCCAAATCATTTTGAAAAAAAGGGTAAATTACAAAGACCCATTGTACTATGGGGTAAGTGACAAATTCCCCCTGTACTTTTATTTGTAACATAGACCCCCTGAATTTTTATGTTGCTACAAAGACCCCCTAACTGTTAAGTCAGTTGATAGAGGTGTTAAATTATCAAAATGCCCTATTTGTAATTTAAGAGGAGTGAAATGAAATTTTTAAAAATGATGAAACTGGGCAAAGCCATTACCCCTTTTTTCTATTCATCATCCAATCTTTTTTAAATTTTTTTCTTAAACCCTAATATACACAAACATTTTGTTGGAGAAGTATTTGAGGAGAACCCTACATTGCTCTTTGTTGTAACCTGGAAGTTGTTGCCCCCATCTCATCAATGAGGAGCTATCTGGTATGTTATCACCGAAAAAAGAAGAATTTTAAATGATACGAAAAAAAATCATTTGCATCGTTTACATCATTGTCAGAGAAGAAAGTATTTTTATTGCCATCACCGGAGAAGAACCTATGTTTACGCATGCCATGCCAACTATTTTAATCATATGTTAACTAATATTTTTAGGATTTGTTAAATTATTAAAGTGTAAGTGAAAGGGTAAAATCGTTCAACAAAATAATAAAACAGGCAGTTTTGAAATTTAAAAAGCTTTAAGCAAATCTTTTCCATGGGGTATTTCTCACAACATAAAAGTATAAATGGGTGTTTGTTGCAAATGAAAGTAGAGTGCAGTATTTGTCACTGACGTATAGTAGATGGTGGTCTTTGTAATTTCCCCCCACCCCGCCCCACTCATGGAAAGCAAAAGACAATGGTACCTTGACAGATAGGTACATCTTAATACTGACTTATTATAATTTAAATATTCTATTTGGTTAGTAACCTGTCATAGACACTTTTAAAAGAAGAAAGAGCTAACACTGGGAAAGAAGTTCTTGGAAGTCTACAAAGACTGGTTTTATTAGAGTTTTTGTCAGACCATCACAGAGGAGGCTTATAAAGCGATGGGCCTGGACGGATGGCGTTGATATTAAGCTCCCGGGCATGAAAATCAGCCGGCATCACAAGTAGTTTGATCATTAATTATACACTTCACGAGCATCCCATAAACTGTTGCCTAATTTCCACTTTCTTTTCCGTCAGACTTCTGAACGTTCTCATCCCAACTCAACCCTGCAGCTTTTTAATTGTTTCCTTATCTGTCTTCTCTTTCCTCTATGTGTAACGAGTCCATTATTATAATTATTAGTTTGGCTAACCCTTGGCATGTGGTAAAAAGCTCAGTCATTCTTTTTTTTTTTAATGAATTCTGGGACCATGTACAGTACAGTGGTGGGTCCAGACTTCAAAAAGGTAAGACACGTTCCTCTTATATCGCCTCCTGTTTGCGGAGCAAATTCTACTGTTGGCAGTCCCAAAAGTCCAGCTACATGTAATCCATCCCCACGGGCCACGACAGGAATATGTATTGACAGAAAGTATACTTGACCCCAGACAAGGGAATGCTTTCATTATTGAACTCGTCCAAGTGTTGGGCTAGTGATTATGAAATTATAATAGCATTGCCTTTCATCATTGTTTTATTTATTTATTTGAAAGCAAAAAGTAAGTGTAGATGGAATGTACTTTAACTTATGAAGCGACAGCCAACAATAAAGGGTTTAGAGTTTTGGAAAGAAATTCTCAATCTCACCAAAAATAATAAATAAATAAATAAACAAATAAAATCACTAGTTTAAGCACCAGAATGTTTATGGGGAAAGTTCATATTTGACACCATACTACCATAGTATTCTTTTCCCTGCTCAAGACTCGAGCCTATTCCTTGCAAAATGCCCTAGATCTCGATTTCAATGCCTTACATCGACAAATGTAATTATATAACACGTTCCACTTATTGATTTGGCAGCCTACCCACTCATACCTCTTGTTTTTTACAGGCGAGCTGAAAAAGCATTGCAACCATAGATGCTACTACCATGAACTAATGATAAGAGATTTCTGTACTTGTACCAAAGCTCTTTCTGCACCACGTTAGGAGTAGTCCCAACTGAAACATAAAGCCCTAAATCCAAGAATTAACTTTTCCCAGATCCCAGAACTGATGACGATGCCAAATAAGAGTTTCACTCAAACCAACAAAAAATGCAATAAAAGAAACCATCCGAGGCTCTCCCTCCCCCCAGATCAACCAATAAAAGTTTATCCCATATCCCATAGTACCAACTACTTAGTGTAGCTACATGAATTCTGTTGTGTCTTGCAACTCTCAACCAAAACTTTTTCCCTGTACATCTGATTTCAAAGAGTGTCTGACACAGACCAGATCATCCAATTTATTGCCATCCATTTTGTATAAAGAAACACCTCCCATCTGAATATAGTGTTCTTGTGCTTCTCTTCTAAGACTCTCAAAGGGCAATAATTCCCACTTACTATAATTCGAATTCTTTCGCCTCTCACTCATGTCTGGAGATCCTGAAACGGGTCCATTACTATCCTCTCCCACATTACCCCATACCTTACAACCACCAAAAGGTCCTAACCCACCAACTTCATCAGCTTGACTTCTCTTTAATTTAAGTGCAGCAGTGTGAGCTTTCCTTATCATTTCTTTACTTGGCACATCTGACCAGTCCTGCTTCCTTTCAGCTCTCATGGGAGAATGGATTCTAATAACCTGTAAAAATATCATCTCAATAAATTACGTGGTTGATTAATACCAAAATTCGGGGAAAAAAGGTTAAGAGAGTCTTACACCAAGGCACTCCAGGAGTTGATAGTAGGCTCTTCCTTGCAGTGGATTGTGCCCTTTTCTTGGTGTTGAGAAGTAGCGGGTCCTGCAATAATGCACATTAAACCAGGTAAGATATTGAAATATCAATCCCGAGTGTAAGAGGGCATAATCATAATGAGCAACCAAGAAAACGAGATTAGTATTTTTTTTTAAATAAAAAAAATCCTCTTCTCTTTTGGTCCACGTGTGCACCTGTTGAAGCAAAATTTTAAGAAAAACAAGAAATGGAATCATATATTGCAGTGCAGTGTACACGCCAATGTGATATTTAACTGACAGAATATTGTCTGCCCTGATTTCACCCTAACTGCAGGTGTATCAAGGTGGGATGATTTCTTATAAACACTGGGATCAATATGAAAATCTTGCAAGGAAGAGATGGAAACAAGGAAATAATGAATGGAAAAAAAAATCAGTTTTATCCCAATTCTTTGTCCAACAGAAATTCCATAGTTTTGGGGTGGTCAGGATCTTGGTCAATTTGGGTATTTTTAGAAGTTATTATCTAGTTTATTTGTGTCTCAGGGATGGGTTGGTTGTTTTAAATAGCCAAGTTAGTTGAGCTTGCCTGTGGGTGGCCGCACTGAAAACCTTGAATGAGTAGACAAGAGAAGAGAGATAAAGAAGACAAGCCCATGAATCACTCCTAGAGTTCCTAGAATCACTCTAGGGCCTTGGGAATCACCACAAGTCACACAAGCAGAAAAATAAACTCCAACATTCATTGCCCACGTTTTGCAACCTTAGACACATATATAGACTATCTCAGGTCAGTCAAACTTCTTCTTAGACTAGGAAACCTCAAAATTACAATTCTACCACTGACAAACCTGCTTAAAGAAAACTAAATAACTCTTAAACTTAACCAATGACTCTGAAGATTTAAACATGACTAGACAAATCAAGCTAATAGGCTGGACCCCCCACCCCCCTGACATGTAAAATGTTCAAAATACCTCTACTCCCCAAGAATACAAAATGCTTAAAATTTTCACAAAATTACAATTTTGACCATCTCCTACATCAATAATTTAGCAAGAAGATGTAAGAAGAAATTAGATTTATTGGGGAGTTTACCAAGTTGAGGGTATTTATGTACATTTGTATAGGGAGTGAGTTCTTAAAAAGTCTTGATTTCCTTTTATCATGAGTTGTGGGGCTCCATACTTTTCTTCATCTTTATCATTCATTAATACAATAACTTTACAGTTACTTGAAAATAAAAGAATAAAGTCAACTGTACAATAATGGGTTTTTGGAGCTTTAATAAGAAAACCAAGATCCATGTAGCTCATTCCAAATGGGAGTGAACTTGAAGCTGTTTCATGAAGAGGTGACAGAGGTAAAGATGAGAAGTGGATTGGCTTCAATAAAGCATGGTGAACCAAAGACATCATTTTTTTGAAGTAACAGACTAGGGTCAGAGAAGAGGATTGATCTTTGTCAAAGGGAAGAACAACAGAGGAGGTGGATGCAGGGCTTGATATGTCTGATGAGGTCGGAATTGGAAATAAGTTGGGGGGTTTGGATATTCTTTGTCTAATCGATGAAAAACAGCAAAAGAAAAGAGAACCTCCTACTCCAGCCCCTAATCACAATTAGAAACTAAAAGGACAATTAAAAGATTGCCCTTAATGGGGTGGCTGTCAATAAATATAAAGAAAAAAGACCAAAGGCTCATTAACTTAAAGAAACTAATTAACAAAACATAAAAAATAATTGCCTATACGGCCTACTATTTCAACACTCCCTTCAAGCTGAGCATAGATGTCAATCATGCCCAACTTACTGCTGTAATTTAGCTTCAGGAACTCCTTTGGTAAGAACATCATCTATCTGCTCTTTAGATGCAACGAAGGGTAGACAAACTTCCCAAGATGCCACTCTTTCTCTGATGAAGTGTTTGTCAACCTCAATATGCTTTGTATGGGCATGTTGGACAGGATTATGTGCTATGAAAATGGCTGCTTGATTATAATACAGCATAAGTGACTTGTCATATTCAACACCCATCTCTTCCATTAGAGACTATACCCACAATAATTCAGATACACTCATACACCATGGGCCATTGCTCTGTGTTCCACTTCAGCTGAAGACCTAGCAACTACTAATTGTTTCTTATCCTCCAAGAAACCAGGTTTCCAACCACCATAGTACAATACCCAGATGTAGACCACCTATCATCAATACAACTTGCCCATTCTGTGTCCGTATAGGGCTCTAGTTTCAGTGACCATGCTTTACAAAAAGATGCCTTGTCCTGGTATACCCTTCAAGTAACACAGAATTCTCTCTGCCACAGCTTCCCAAGCAACCTCTAGAACACTCCCCTATCCTTAAGTACCTCTCCATCAGAAGCTGAGAGCTTGTGGTTCAAATCAATAGGTGTGGCAGCTGGTTTTACCCCACATTTGCTTGTTTCAGTAAGTCAAGCACATACTTAGTTGGGATATAAGATGCCATCTTTGGACCTAGCAACTTCAATCCCTAAGAAATACCTTAGTTCCCCCAAATCTTAAACCTCAAATTCAGCATCAAGGAATTGCTTAAAGATATTAACCTCTTACATATCATTACCGGTGACTACACTGTCATCTACATTGACAATCAAGAAAGTAACCAGGGCACCTCTCCTCTTCACAAAGAGGGTATGATCTGTTTGTGATTTTGTATATCCAAAGTGAAGCGACCATAGAGTGACTTCTTCAATTTACATACCTTACCCTGCATTTCTTTTCCATACATCCCAAGAGGAAGAGGCATATACACTTCTTCATGCAACTCTCCATTCAAAAAAGCAATCTTTACATCAATCTGATAGAGCGACCAATCATAATTAGCTTCTAAAGATAACAAAACTCTCACAGAAGTCATCGTAGCAACAAGAGAAAATGTCTCCAAGTAGTCTATCCCATATGCCTGTGTATACCCCTTGGCAACCAACTGAACTTTGAACTTTTCAATAGAACCATTTAATGATATTTTATGGTGTAAACCCATTTGCACCCAATGAGCTCCTTCCCTTCAAGAAAATCAATGACATCCCAAGTGTCATTCTTATACAATGTCTCTATCTTAGTTCTCATAGCACCTCTCCATTTTGATTTTGATAGTGCTTTTGATATAGACTTAGGGATAGGTTGAGAAGAAACAAAGGCGAAGAAGGAATAATGTTATGGGGAGAGCAGTCCATTAAGAGAGGTGCTTTGAAATGTAACGTGTAATGCACTTTCTCTTATGTTTTCTTATGGCAATAGGGATATCAAGGTCACGGAAAGGAAGTTGCAAAGGTGTGGTCTCAACACCTGCCATCTCTTTAGCAATTGGAAGTGTAGGAGGCTCAACTACATGAGTGGAAACAACATGCTCAATCCTGTGCCTTTGCCGTTGGTACCATGTTTGAAAGACAGGTGAAGTCACAAATGAAGGAGGATTTGGAGGCAGTGGTGGAGGAATTGGAACAGAAGAGCTAGGAGACAACTCAGTAGGAGGCGACACACAAGGAGGTGAATCTCCTCGTATTGGTGGTTACATGTTGTCTGGGATTATTCGACTCATCCATGTATCTAATGACATTGAAATCACCTCCTAGGCACCATGGACCCCACCACAAACCCCTTATATCTGCCAACTCCTCCCACATCAAATTCCTTTCCCTATATGGATTTGGCCCATAAATATTTGTCATTACCCAAACAAAATTGTCATCCACACTTATCAATTTAATAGAAATTGAAATTTTACCAATTACCTCCTCCAAGCATTCCACCAAATCCTTGGAGGGTTGATGCCTTGACGGGAGGGAGTGAAAAAGTTGAAAACTCGGGAGAAGGAAAATTCAATAAGGGGATGGTGAACATTGAATGTTTAGTGGATAAACAAGTGGGGGTGGGAAAGTCATTGGGGCTAATCTTTTTGGGTGGGGAGAGGGTGGTAAGGAAAGCAATTGAACAATTTGAAATGAAAAAAGGGAAGAATTTAATAAAAGAAAAGAGTTATTGGGGAAGGGGGGAGGTGTAGGAGGAAGTAGGAATTGTCGATGAAGAATAAAAGAAATTTCATGAAGTTATAAGGAAGAAGAAAAAAGGTTGAGGGGAGAGGTGAGGAGGGGGGGAAAGGAGAAGGGAGGGAAGAGGATTTGGTAGGAGTAAAGTGAAGGGGATGTTTGCAGAAAAGAGGGAAGGATGGTGGAGGGTGAAATTGGATATGAGGTGGTGATTAAGGAAAATCAAGGTCTGAAAGATGGAAGAAGGGTTTAGGTAAGTAGTGTGTTAGGAACCTGCCTAACTCAGGGCTCTTCGAGGGGCCAACCTCCTGAATTCTTGGAAGGAGAGGGAGAGAGAGAGAGAGAGAGAGTTTAATGC